TGGATTTTCATGATATATTCTCTCATTTTGCCAAGCTGACTACTGTGAGGGCTATTATTGCCACTGCTGCTCTCAAGCACTGGCCTATATTTCAGATGGATGTTCAGAATACCTTTTTGAATGGAGATCTTGAAGAGGAAGTTTACATGACTTTGCCTCAAGGATTTAGTAGCCAGGGGGAGCATAAGATTTGTAGGCTACTAAAATCCCTATATGGGCTTAAGCAGGCATCTAGGCAGTGAAATTTGAAGTTGTCTCAAGCCTTGTCTCTGTCTGGTTTTAAGCAAAGAAAGCATGACTATTCTTAATTTACTAAAAATATGGACAACAAGTTTATTTTGATACTGGTCTATGTATATAATCTTCTTGTTACAGGAAATTAAACTTGCACGGGAATCTCTGCATCAACATTTTAAGATGAAAGAACTTGGAGAAGTTAGATATTTTTTAGGTATAGAGTTTGCCAGATCAAAGGAGGGCATCCTTATGACTCAAAGAAAATATGCATTAGAGATGATAACTGATGCAGGCCTAGCAGGTTCTAAACCTAAAGAGACACCAATAGAGCACAACTTGAAGCTGACAAGCACTGAGTTTGATACTTGCACAAACACAAGTAAGGGAGATGAGTTGCTAAAAGATAGGGGGAGTTTTCAGAGGCTCATAAGGAAGCTTTTGTATCTCACAATAACAAGGCCTGATATTCCATATGCAGTGCAATCCCTAAGTCAGTTTATGCATGTACCTAAAAAATATCACTATGAAGCAGTACTTCATGTAGTAAGGTACATCAAGAAGCAACCAGGGATGGGGTGGTTGATGTCAAGTGACAGAATGAAGAAATAGAAGCATTCTGTGATTCAGACTGGGCCTCATGTCCCATGTCGAGATAGTCTGTCACTGGATATTGTATTAAGCTTGGAAGTTCAACTATATCCTGGAAAGCCAAGAAGCAGCACACTATATCTAGAAGCTCAGCTGAAGTTGAGCACAGAAGCATGGCACACATAGTAGCTGAACTTGTGTGGTTGAAAGGTTTGTTGGAAGAGCTGAATATGAATCTAAAGCTGCCCGTGAAGTTGTTATGTGATAATAAAGTAGCATTACAAATTGTTGCAAATCCCATGTATCATGAGAGGACAAAACACATAGAAATAGACTACCACTTCATCTGAGAAAAAATTCAAGAAGGGCTGATCAAGACATTATATATTGCCAGTCAAGAACAACCATCAGATGTGCTAACTAAAGCACTTGGACATCAGCAACATGCAGCATTAATCTCCAAGTTGGGAATGAAAGATATTTTTTCATTCTCAACTTGAGGGAAGTGTTGAGATTACAGTTGTAAATGGTTATACATTTATATATTTATGTAGTACACTTTTAGAAGGTGGTTAGTTAAGAAGTTAGTTGTTACTCCCTCCGTTCCAATTTATATGAACTTGTTTGACTGGGCACAGAGTTTAAGAAAAAATAAAGACTTTTGAAATTTGTGGTCCTAAACAAGTCAAAAAGGGACCCAGAGTATTTGTGTGGTTATAAAAACTTCTCGTTAAGGGTAGAATTATAAGTTTAAGCAAAATTGTTTTCAAGTTTAGAAAAGGGTCATTCTTTTTGGAACGGACCAAAAAGAAAATAGGTTCACATAAACTGGAACGGATGGAGTAGTTTTTTCTTTCACAAAGTCAGTTGTGTTAGTTAGGATAAATAAGTGATGTACAGTTCATCTTCAGTCTAAGCCAGCTAACAGAAAAGTTGCTCCTCATCTCTCTATCGTCTCTTCTCTTCTCTCTCGCTCGAGCTCACTAATGACGGAACCTAGGGCTAGATTTCAACATATACTAAATTGAATTATCATCTGAAAAAGAGGAACATGATATCTTACTTGCATGAACAAATTGATAGTAAATGCAGATGCACTCTATGCCTTCGGCCTAAAACTGATATATTTGTACTAATTTCGCACCGAGCATGACAATGTAATGTATCCATAAGATAGCGTCCGTATTTCTTGGTTTAAACTTATGAATTCGCCTTTCTTTTTCCATAGCAAACGTGAAGTTGAATATTCTCTCGACGACTCTATACAGTTTGATAAATTTGCAACCCATGATTTTCTAGTGCAGTGCCTAAAGTGAGTGATAAGTGACTCAACTAGCTAGATCAAGATTTGAAGGACAACACCCATGGTCAAAAATAAAATTAGGATAAGTGATTATAAAAGGAACATGGTCCAAGAGGTTTCAATAATTAAACTACTGTAATTTGTACATTCTTAACCTGACCTTTAGCTTATCAATCTAGGCAATTGAGTAACTGCGTGATACACTGATCTCTCTATATGATTCTCAGCTCAATTCATTGACTACTAGGTCACACTAATTATTTTGGGACTAGTCTTAAAATGATCAATATTTAATTACCGCTAATCAAGCCTAATTTACAGTTTATTCGTAGCCGGAGTTAGGAGGTCCATTTATGACCCATTATAAATGATGTTTTAATTATATGACCATCTTCATATGATACTGATAAATAACATAAAAGATACTTGTAAGGTCATTATGATTGTAACTAATTATAGGAGATTATTTTCTCGACGGTACTGTGAATGACTAATGCTCCTATTAAAATACTTACTGAAGAAATCATTTTAAAGTTAATGGGTAATTATTTATTTATTTATTTATTTATTATTATTATTATTATTATTTTGCTTCATATGCTATAGGTGGCCACTTCGTGATGCAGGATGCAACTATATATAAGTCTCAAATGAGCAACCCCCTTGGATTTTGAGGTGATTTCTTTTAACAATTGAGAGTGGAGTACTAAGTACTCCGAAAATTGATTTAATTAAAAAACTGCAAAACTATTAAACAAGAGAATGGCAAGATTGTTAAATAATCTAAATTTGCAAAAAGAAAGGAATCTCGGGGGTCCTGGACTATTGGCAACAGGTGGTTGTTTCTATATTGGTGACCTGTCAAAATTGACGAATGTTGTAGTAGTAGTATTACACATTAAAAATGCTATAAAGTATTTGAATATGCAGAGATGGAATAAAGTGAAACAAACATGACTAAACACGTGACGACAAAAGATAGAATAGTGTACTGTAGATAATATTATGGGGGAATAATTAAGAGGGAGCACACGTGAAAATACGAGTAGATCAGCCAATAACCAACTAATCTACTATGAGGCGAATACTGTGGATGTAAAGCATCACCGCAAGCAAAGCAATTATTTTAACCGTTTAATAGGAGTAATTTTCTTTTCAAGTTTTGCCATACGAAAGACATTTTAATCATAAGAGTATGTCTAAATTACTCTTCATCATTTCTCCTTGACGCCTCACTTGATTAATCTACTAAAACATTAAGAGTAGATCTGATAATTAATAACTTCTTATTTTTCTAACACGTAAACATTTTGAAGCATATCCAGCTCGTCAAAACAACGTAACTACTATTATATATAGGATTGAAAGTAGTATATTTTTGTGATTAATACAAGTATATTTAACTATATTAATATTTCAAGTTTAAATCAATGAATGTGTGTACATTTATTATATATCCACAACAGGTGTATCATCTTCATGAAATTACTCGTTTTCAATATTATATATGTCTGTTTCATATGCGTCAAACTAACTTCGAAAGTTAAATAATTTTAATTACATCTTATAATTGTTGCTCCAAAGTTCTAAACAATGAATTTGTGCAATTTCAAAATTAATAACTTAATGTCATTCTTAATCACTAAAGTATAAGGTTCAAAGTTTACTAGATTTTTCATTTTTTTCACCAAGACAAGATAATCCGCCTTTTACAAGAAAGATAAAAATATTATAGAATTCAAATATCAAAAAAGTAAAAAGAATAAAACAGATGGCAATTAAATCCAGCGACTCTTCCCTTACTTGTCCACTGTTCATCGTGTATCCCTTTTTTTTTCTTTTTACCAAAAAGTTTTATTTCCCAAATTTAGTGTGTTAACATGCTATGTATGTATGTAATACACTTGTATTTATTATCTAATATAGTACTTTTCCAAATCTAATTTGAAATGTATACCCTTTAATTTCAATTAGTGCGAGTTAGTCCAGTTAAATTACTTAACACTTTTATACTTCTTATTTTCCGTTTTTTCTCTTCCTCATTTAGTTTGGGAAATTTATTTGTAATATTGCTAACAAGAACCAGGTTGCTTAGCTTTGGAGATAATATACAATATTTTTGGCCAATCCACCACCCAATTTATCATCCACCAAGATCTGTGGTAATGATTCCTAGTATATCATTTTTAGGTAACTGGATATAGTAAATGCGTATTAAAATCTTTTTAAGAAAATAGCCAATTTTCCATAATGAACATGATCCAATAAACTCGAAAAGAAGATAATTAAATGGCCAACAGAATACAGAAGCTGTGCCTAACATGTGAAATGTAAAATGGGGGCTTGGTCCAAAAACTTCCCAAAATATTTGATTCGAAGAGACATCTAAAAACAACCATTAGGAACATATACAATATACAAAAAGAATATCAATTGCTATTTGATATACAATCTAACTTATACAAGATTCAACAATCACAGCTACTGAAACTATCAATTTGGCCCTTCTAGTCACTAACTACTGTTATTTATCGACATATTGTTTTTGTTCTAATTTGTATAATATTTTTTCCTTCTTGATATTCAAATTATCCGAACTTTCATCCAATATTTTAAAATATATTTTTTCATAATACAAACATGTGAAAATTGCAATTTAATTTACTATAATTTTTGAACATTTAAATTTTAATTCTAAACTATTAATTTAATTTAACTTGAAATATCAATTAAATTTAAAAGTGTCACATGAATTGCGAAATATTAGAAAAATATTGGTTATTTCCAAAGTGCCATTTTCAGCTCTCTTCTATTCTATATACAATCACGGGACATACGTACAAACAACAACAGTCAACAACTATATATTGAGCAGAGTGAGTGGCGAAGGGAGGTGTGAGAGAGAGAAAGAGTGTGCGTGTGTGTGTGTACGTGTTTGCTGCATATGTCAGTAGACTGTGATCACACAATTTGGCATTTTCATTCCATTCGCAATGGCCGCAACTTTGCACAAGGTGACTCCGACTACTGCTTCGGCCTCCGCTTCTATCGCCCGTCGTGAGTCCGCCGCAGCCTCCGTCCTGGTGGACGATCAGCAGAAACAAACGCCGGCTCTGACGTCATTGCTTAACTCTCAACCTCCTTCCTCCAATCCCTCTAGCAAAGGTATATATAAATGCCTTTTGACTCTATACGTAAAATTAAGTTTCTACGCTCTATTCAAACAATGTGTGTGTGTGTGTGTTTTGGCCGGCCGTCGGACTTCGGAGTATATGTATGTGTGCAATTGCACAAGTTGTTGTCTCTTTCTGTAATTTGAGCATCTGCATGTTTGATTTTCGTGTGCTTACCGAATATAAATGACGGCTTCGATGATTTTCTTCATCTGCATTCGCAAATTATTTCTATATGCTCCTAATTTCTATACCTGTAGTCTTAATTTTGGTATACATTCGAGAAGGAAATTCTATTGAATAAGCTACAGTAGAATTGCGGTCCTTAAACATTTGTTTAGTCTCAACAATCGGGGTTTACTTTTGGACTTTGCCAGTGTAGTTGCACAATTCCTGCAATTATTTAGATCAAATAATATATTATTTCGATCACTTTGTCCTGAATTTGAATTGACAATCAATCAACTAGTTAACTAATTCCTAATTTCAAATTAGGTGAGATCAAATCATTTGTATCTTTGTATATCCATTTCGCCTATGTTACTCGGACTCTTCGAAAATGTTGTTGGGTGCGTGTCGGATCCTACAAATTTAGTGCATTTTCGGAGGATCCGACACGAGTGCGGCAGCATTTTTGGAGAGTCCGAGCAACATAGCATTTCGCTTTATACTCATGTATTTTTCTCCAGAGGATTTATACTGTAATAGTTAAACTATTCTTAGGTTGTTTGTCAACCTACCATGTCCTTCCTTGTTTAGTGAAACTTAAGTAGATGAAGTTCCTTTTGAAAAGAATAAGAAACGATTTTTTTCCTTTAAAAATTAAGAAAACATAAAAACAAAGTGTACATGAATGGAGGGAGCTTGTTATTGGAGTAGTTGGTAAGATGTTCATTGTTTGACAATTCCATGTTTATGCAGGGAAACAAATCATGCCAAGAGCTCATACATGCCATCCTTTGGACCCTTTATCTGCTGCTGAAATCTCTGTGGCTGTGGCGACCGTCAGAGCTGCCGGTGAAACACCCGAGGTTCTTAATCACTATCTTTTTGTCATCCATTTTTGCGTTGAACAATGGAACAAGTATTAGTTGAACAACAGGACATCATTTGCTCTCAATTTCCCTAATTGTTTTCATTTATTTATTTTTTTGCAAACACATTTTAGGTCAGAGATGGCATGCGCTTTATTGAGGTGGTTCTTCTGGAACCTGATAAAAGTGTCGTTGCACTGGCTGATGCCTATTTCTTCCCACCTTTCCAATCTTCATTGATGTCCAGAAGGAAAGGAGGGCTTCCCATTCCTACTAAGCTTCCTCCAAGGCGAGCTAGACTTATTGCATATAATAAGAAAACAAATGAGACAAGCATATGGATTGTTGAGCTAGCTGAAGTACATGCTGCTGCTCGAGGTGGACATCACAAGGGAAAAGTGATTTCATCCAATGTTGTTCCAGATGTTCAGCCACCTATAGTAAGCACTTTCTCGTCTTTAGAACTTTAAGAGATTAGAAGTACATGAACAATAGATGCAATTGGGTTATCAAAGAACTGAAGTGAGAACACCAAGTAAGAGCAACCCAAAGTTCTTATTACATTTGAAACCAAATGCATTCACTCTTCACTCTAATAATTGCTCATGAAAAATGAATTTTAACTACATTTTCTGAAACATTACCGGTTTCATTTATTGGTATCCTTTAGAATGTTCACTTGGCTAGATGCACCGATTAATTAAGTTATGAACATTTTTGAAGTTGTGAATACCTCCATCCTAATGGAACATTTAGTAAATTTTCCTAGCGGTAAGTTGGTTGTTCTTTTGTTTCTATCAACTGGTCTTGTACAACTGGTGCTCTAGAGATTCTAAACACTCTATGAAACAAAAGAGTCAGAAGAATTTGTATTTTTGTTGTACTAGCATACGGTCTTGGGGCAACGAGGAGAAAGGACACAAGCCAAATTGGACATCCATTCTGATTCCAGAAGCCGATTAAGTGTTTTCCGTGCTATATATACTTTTGTTTACTTATATTGCTCTCTTCTTGATGAACTGTGTTTTCTTTCTCATCATATGGAAAGTAGAGCATATTTATACACCAAAATCAGAAGTAATTTTTGCATGTATAGTCTGTCTCAAGTCAACCCAAAAAATGTTAAAGTTTGCAACTTTTAAGTTTTTTGGCTTAAGTGAGTTGTGGTATAGGTCAGCTCTTTAGATTTCAATAATTCTCAAATTTTACATATTATCTTAACTCTACTGATTGTAGGATGCACAAGAGTATGCTGACTGTGAAGCTGTAGTTAAAAATTATCCTCCTTTTAGGGAAGCAATGAAGAGAAGGGGTATTGATGACATGGATGTTGTGATGGTGGACCCCTGGTTAGTTAAATACCCTTGATTTTTCTTTCTTCTCCCTTAAGAACCGATTTCTTATTTCATTGCATTTCGACCTGAAAATGCTTTCCGCACAGGTGCGTTGGTTATCACAGTGAGGCTGATGCTCCTAGCCGCAGGCTTGCCAAACCGCTAGTATTCTGCAGAACAGAGAGTGACTGCCCAATGGAAAATGGATATGCAAGACCGGTTGAAGGAATATATGCCCTTGTTGATGTGCAAAACATGCAGGTGATAGAGTTTGAAGACCGCAAACTTGTACCTTTACCTCCAGCTGATCCACTGAGGAATTACACTGCTGGTGAGACAAGAGGAGGGGTCGATCGAAGTGATGTAAAACCCCTCCAGATTATTCAGCCAGAGGGTCCAAGCTTTCGAGTCAATGGGAACTATGTGGAATGGCAAAAGGTAAATTCTTTTTTCCAGTCTGATATGCATTGAAGGATTATTTGCTTATACATCTAACATGTCATTCTTTCACTTTGTTTTGACAGTGGAACTTCCGAGTAGGTTTCACCCCTAGGGAGGGTTTGGTTATACACTCTGTGGCATATCTTGACGGTAGCAGGGGTCGGAGACCCATAGCCCATAGGTTGAGTTTTGTGGAGATGGTTGTCCCCTATGGGGATCCAAATGACCCACATTACAGAAAGAACGCTTTTGATGCAGGAGAAGATGGGCTCGGAAAGAATGCTCATTCACTTAAGAGGGTAACTGACATTTCTCCGGTTCAACTATGGATGACTTTTGAGAATGTAAGTGCTAATCTAACAAAATCACCCTTGCAGGGATGCGATTGTTTAGGATACATAAAGTACTTTGATGCCAATTTTGCAAATTTTACCGGAGGAGTAGAAACCACTGAAAATTGTGTATGTTTGCATGAAGAAGATCACGGGATGCTCTGGAAGCATCAAGATTGGAGAACTGGCCTTGCAGAAGTTAGACGGTCTAGACGACTTACAGTTTCTTTTATTTGCACTGTGGCCAATTATGAATATGGATTCTACTGGCACTTTTACCAGGCAAGAATAAGAAAATCATTATCAGGAAATCCTCTGTTTGCATGTTCTAAAAAAATTAGGTAACATTGAAGTATCATCACAAGTTCACAGTTTATTTAGAACACTTGAGGGAAAAGAAAGCAAGCAGAAGCAAGATAAAGAATTTCTTGTAACTTTGGTCGTGTTTATGATTAATGTTTTCTGAGAGACAAACTCATTCCTGGGGGAGAAAAAAATCCTTATTCTTGGCCAAATGCTTGAAACAAAACCAATGTTATCATTCTGTTATAATTGAGTTGATACCAATAATAGCTCTACTACTTGCTTATGCCTTTTTTTTGTGGGCGAGGGGGGATTTGCTAAGCCAAAGACAAGTGAATATCAGAAGTTTACATCTATCCCCGAGAAAAAAATTCAGAATTTATGCTCATCTATTTTGCATAAATGTCTTTGCTGATTGTAAGTACGTTTAGCTCCACTTACCATTTTGAAATGATCTGTAAATTTTGTGGTTGCAGGATGGGAAAATTGAAGCAGAAGTCAAACTCACAGGAATTCTCAGTTTGGGAGCATTGCCCCCCGGAGAGTCTCGTAAATATGGCACCACAATAGCACCAGGATTGTATGCACCTGTTCATCAACACTTCTTTGTTGCTCGTATGAATATGGCAGTTGATTGTAAACCAGGAGAAGCACACAATCAGGTATTTAGTGGAACAAGTTACCGTGTCCATCCGGAAGTTAAAGTAATTTCATACCTTCAGTTTCCCAATTTTTAACTTTCTAATCTGAGTTGTTAGTCCTTTGTCTAGGTTGTTGAAGTTAATGTAAGAGTTGAAGAACCTGGGAAAGAAAATGTTCACAACAATGCGTTCTATGCTAAGGAAACAGTGCTTACGTCTGAATTGCAAGCAATGCGGGACTGTGATACTTTATCTGCTCGTCATTGGATTGTAAGAAGCCTTACTTGACTGTATCCTCCTTTCTTTTTACAGGACTGTTCTTCAGGTTACTTCCCTAGCACAGTATCTGCTGAGATATGTACTCAATAGTAGACTGTGGTCCTTAAACATGGCCACTGATTTTTGAGGGAGCTAAGTACAATGTGTAGAACCTCCACCTTAATGCTAGTATTCTCATATGAGAAATCCTTACAAGTGTCATTCTTAGCATTTGAACAAAAATTGATCGCCTTATTTCTCCAAAACAATGATGTTAAGAACTTTCTGTGACTTGTATGTGTTTGGCATAAGAGTACTATATGTTTCATTCTTCTGAAAATCACGAACTTTTGTTGAGTTTTGCGCTCTTTGGTTAGATGTGTTTGGTGATCTTAAGATTACAACAACAACGAAAACAACAAACCCAGTTTAGTCCCACAAGTGAGGTTTGGGGAGGGTAGAGTGTATGCAGACCTTACCCCCTACCTTGTGAAGGTAGAGAAGTTGTTCCCGATAGACCCTTCGCTCAAGGAAAGATAGAAAAAGAAGCAATAGCATCAAGCAGTAACAACAACACGATAATAGATTAACAGAAGCGAAGAAACAAGAATAGGGATAAGAATAAGAAATAGAAACAACAGGTAGTAAAAGAAAACTAAACATAAGGAAATGCAAGAGCAATACTAATACTACTGCTATGGAAAAGAAATACGCTCAACCATACCTACTAACCTTCTACCGTAAGATTGCAGATGAAAATTTCAATTGCAAATTCATTTAGATAGGATGGTTGAACTTTATTTTGTTTCAGCATGTGGTATTGTGGAGTCAATTTTTAGATTCCAATATCTGCTAGCTCAAAACATCAAGGAGAAGTGGAAGAAATTGAATACTAGCATCCCCAACCGTAGTAGCAGAGCCATCGATTTGACTGCGAACATCTGATTTTGCAGGTTAGGAACACAAGAACATCCAATAGAACAGGACAGCTAACAGGGTACAAGCTGGTACCTGGCCCTAGCTGTTTGCCATTAGCTGGTCCTGAGGCTAAGTTTTTGAGAAGAGCTGCATTTTTGAAGCACAATCTATGGGTTACACAATATGCACCCGGAGAAGATTTTCCAGGGGGAGAGTTCCCTAATCAAAATCCACGTGTTGGTGAGGGATTAGCTTCTTGGGTTAAGCAAGATCGTTCTCTGGAAGAAAGTGATGTTGTTCTCTGGTTAGTTTCTCGACAGCTGTCAATTATGTTATTACATTGGAGTTGCTGGTTTCAGATTGTTTTGCCAAACACACACACTTTAACTTTCATAAAGAGCTAGATGTGGAACTTCTAATTCCTTGGAAACCTTTATATACATGTTTGAGAAGTTACCTATTCCTTGAAATTCTGATCTACACAGATTATTACAGGTATGTTTTTGGAATCACACATGTTCCTCGGTTGGAGGACTGGCCTGTTATGCCAGTTGAACATATCGGTTTTATGCTTCAGGTATTCTGGAATATGGATGTTATGTGTTTATTTTGTATGAACTGGTGTTTTTCTCCTTATCTTTGTTATCATCTAACTTCTCGTTATCTATTGTGTTACCTTTTACTTGGTACTAAAGAGCTGATTAAGTATTGTATCAATTTTTTGTAATAACTCAACTCATTCATACATTCGCTGTGTGTATGTTAGAATAACTAGCCAAACATAACCTTAGAGTGTAGCATTGAAAGTATTGGCAGTGGAGTAGAAAGGATCGTGAATATCCACAGAGATCTTGAAAATCAAAGCAATTGGGAGCTGGTAGTAGAAATGAGAAGGTTCTTTTTCAAGTTGTTATCTTGACATTAAGTCTGGATCAGGTTAACCACAGTAAGTTTAGTGATAAAACTCTCCATCCTTTTTAATTACTGAAATCTCGTAATCTTTTTTCGAAATTGCTGGATAAACTAGAGAATTATATCTCTTCCTCAGAACCTGTTTAAGTTTATTGTCCAAGTTTAGCAATGACTTTATCCAACTCCAAAAACCCGCTGGATAATATTCATTGTGAAAACTGTTAAGTTTCCGGCTGCCTACTGGTTAAGAAGATTCATGGAAAACTTAACTCCACCTATGTAAAATTTTGCATAGCCGATCTTCAATCCGGATAAAGAAGAGGGTTGTGATATCTTGACGGCTAAAACAATAAGTTCCCTAACTAATTTGGTATTGAAACATAGTTGATTCATTGATCGATATAACATGGAAATTCGGTTGAAAAGGGTTTAGTTCTATACTCATAAGTCATAATAGAAGGTGGATGGTTCCGTTTGTCCATAACCTCTTCAGTTTAAAGAACGATTATTTCTGCTTGTTGGTGCAGCCGCATGGATTCTTTAACTGCTCTCCTGCTGTAGATGTACCTCCTCCTCGGGGATGTGACTTGGAAATCAAAGACAGTGATGGTTCAGAAAATGGTGTAGCAAAGCCCACTCCCAGTAGTTTGATGGCCAAGCTTTGAAAGGTTTGTGATTCAGAAAATAGTCCTCTCGTATTATCTGCACAGACACACAACAGGCAAACTTCCATCTTCTGTTTCTTTCGGTACTGTCCTGAATTAGTTGGTGCTACCACATGGATGTTGTTATACTTTAGATAACGTGTTTATGCAAAGCATGTCCTGTTTTCTATTGACCTTGAACATCGTTATATAGAAAAACTAATAACATTCACTCTCTTTGTATTTTTATTTGTATGGTATAAGCACTTTCACAGGTCCATCTTAAACTTGAATATTTGAAAAAGATTATCAAATACCACTATTTGCATCGGAGGTCTAAAATTCATGCAAAATATCAATTTAAAACCTTCTCTGACAATTAATCCATAGTACTACAAACAAGACTCATATCTTCAAGCTCTAGAAGTTTTGGGTTCAATTCTTGCTAATAGTAAGAAGGTTATACATGTATTTGTTATTGATTGTACATTGTAAGTAATTTCCATTGTAGTTGTTCATAATTATTCATTAATTGATTGATTGATTACTCACACTTCAACTTGATTCCCTGTGTGGTGATACTACTCCTACCCCCTCCCCTCATCCCTCTGAAAAAAGGAAAGAAAACTTGGAGTCTTGGACGTACGAATTTAAATGCACAACAAAACTTTTTTCATATGTATTGTTAATACACTTCATATAATTCAAAAGAGGGGTTGAATTATGGGTGTTTTAACTTCGTTATATGCGAACTATCTGAACTTGAAATATATTTCAAGAGCCAAGTAGCTCGTCTTTTGTGTCATCTAGTCTTAGATTTAGTCTAATGACAGCTTAGTTAAAAAGAAGGATAGTTAAGGACAGTATCTCCTGTTTGACAGCATGGAGTACATTTTACCAGATAAACATACTAACCACAAAAGAATGTAACAAAAAGCCATTATTCTTCTAAACTCTTGAGATAATACGATAGTAAAGAATTGAAATTTGACCAGAACTTTTCAAAGAAATAGAAAAGAAAGGGAGAAGAGAAGATACTCACCTCAAAGTTCTCTTGAGTACAGTTTTGTATAATTGTACGTATATAAGAAGAAGTAGATTCGAAAAATAAAAAGAGAAGATCGAATTTACATCTTAGATATGGTGGAAGACAAGATTTTCCCCACATGTATCTTCTGATAAGGAACTCAATGGATTATTACTGAAATCTTCTTCATTCTTGATCCCACCATAAGGATACTGAAACAGAGAATCTATTTTGTTCTCAGAACCCCATGACAGGTCTTGAGGATTTCCCACCATTTCATTCATCTGAATTTCAGCAGCATTATGATGGTTATTCATATTTGAACTATTGCTTGAGCTCTCTTTGGCTTCACTTGTATATAATAAACTCATTATTGAACTTGAGCTGTCGGAAAATTCAGTTTCTGTCATGTGTCCATGTTCAAAATTTGTTAAACTTGGCATTGAGCAAAAGCCAAAATTTGGATTCCCCTCAATTTGGTTCTGATGATCATAAGGTCTCAGATTTTGTTGGCATTGACCTAACAGTTCTGAATTGTACTCACTTGGATCATCATTTGCTTGGAATTCATACAGAAACAGAGGATCAAACACTTGTTTGCTCACAAGTTGGTTTCTTGAAGCATCTGTTAATTGTCTATTTGCTTCACAGTCGACACTTGTTTCACTAAGGTGAAAAGGTTGCTCCATTTTAGCTGAAATTGACATATTTGGGAGCTGTGGTATCAGCAACATTGAGGCCTTATCTGTACAGTCTGTCTCATTTCTTACTTGATTTTCACTTAGTGGCTTGTGGGTGTTTGGATCAATCCCTTGCTTTATTAGCTTCTTCTTTAAATATGAATTCCAGAAATTCTTTATCTCATTATCTGTTCTCCCTGGTAATTGTGCTGCAATCTGTGCCCATCTGGAATTTACAAAAAAAAAAAAAAAAAAAAAAAAAAAAAAAAAAAAAAAAAAAAATTGAATCGAATACACAAAAGGGGTAAAAAAAGAAACAGCAAAACACTCATGCTCTAGTTCTTTTTGAGTTTAAATAACATGAAATACCTGTTTCCAAGAAGTTCATGGAGATTAAGGATGATATCCTCTTCTTCCTGTGAGAACATTCCTCTTTTAAGATCAGGCCTCAAGTAATTTATCCATCTCAATCTGCAACTCTTTCCGCATCTTTGCAGACCTGCAAGAATTTCTCCACACGAGTAAAGTTTCTTTTTCACTTCCATTCTATGCCAAGAAAAGGAAAAGGAAAAGGAAATTCAACAGTTTAAAGGAATGAAATGGAAAATATAATACCAGCCAGCTTAGGGACTGAACTCCAGCAGCCAACGCCAAATTTGGTGATATAATTGCACAATTTTTCATCTTCTTCTGGTGACCACAATCCTTTCCTTAGCTTCTCCTTAACAAAAACAGAATGGCGTCCCATTGACTATGCAGCCTAAGGTTTTCCACAAGTTTTACCAGTAACCACTTGTCACCTTATAGCTGAGACTATTGTTCAGAATGTATGGAGATGGGATTAATAATCTTCATAACCAATGTTTGAGAACTAAATATCAAGGCTAATATATAATCTCAAGAAGTACACAGAGATATCATATTTAGAATTTGATGTCCAAGAGCTAGAGAGAAGGAAGAAGCTAGGTGAGGCAATTAAGTGGTTTTTACGCAAATTTTTTGATTGGATCTTAAGATATCTCTGGGCTCTATATAATTATTCTAACTTTCAAAGGAAAAGGAGGAAGAAGAATTGCTAAAGCATAAGATAAATGAGAATTACTCCTTAAACTTGTAGCTAAGAGTAGTAATTTGTCTTTATAATCATTCTTTGGCTATTCTATATATCGGGTATATATTATTACTCACCAGCACAAATATTGAGTAACTTTATCCCTCGAGACTTAATTAGGACAGTATTATACATTTATGATGAGTTTTGTGAGTGTTAGTCGTTTAGGATCAGTTTCCTTCACAAACAGGAGTATTGGACAGGTTTCGCTATTTGATACGAGGATATATAGGGGACCTTTCATCAACAGTTTATTTTCATCGCACCTTTCTTGCAACCTCAAATTCAGCACTGTGGTCATGTGAGATTGGACCACTTCTTTTTTTGTTTGATAGTCATTTCTTCTAAAGATTCAGAGTTATTCTTTAATGTCAAAAGAATTAAAAAAGTTTGAATAAAAAGAAAGAGCTTTAACTATTTTCTGCATGAGGTTTCCACCTTCCAGGACCTTTTTTTAGACAGTAAAAGAACAAGTTTTTCAATCCCGAAAGAAGACGTAAGATGATAGAAGACGAAATTTAGTGCATTTGGACGACTTGTCATTTATATTTGTACATATATTTGTGGGTGAGGTTAAAAAAGAACAACTTGAAGATCGACCGACACAAAGATTTCAAAGAAGTCTTGGGTCCATGCACATAATTTTCTTTTTAATCATTAGGTACGAAAATTTACTTCCTCACTAATTCAGATTCATGCTGCCTTGTTAGGATCTATTAAAGAAGTAGTATTTTCACCATAAATTTTTTCATTCTTAAGATTCAAATTCGAAACCTTTAATTACGGATGAAAGGATCACATCCATATCACCACACTCCTTGAAATTAACGGAAAGGAATTGCTTTCTGGCTGAGGGGAATGAAGGAACTGAAAAATACGTATATGAAATTTAGTTGGAAATATTCGAAGTGTTTTGCTTGCATGCAACTTCATCAAAATAAAAGAGACTTTTATTTTGAAGATTCATCATTAGAGCTTGGAAACAAACTCATGTTATACGGACAACTGATGTCATTTTCAATTGAAAAGTTTATCCAGTTTGTCAATAAGAGTTGAGACAATGTACAAGAGAAATATACATAGTTTAACTAGTTTGTCCAAAATCATTACTAACTTATTTTTAGTTTTTCCCGTAACTATATTTAAAGAAAAATTACTTCCGTCCACATATTTTTTATGGACCATTTTTAAAATTAACCTTATCTGATGTAATAGTTGGGAGAAGTACACAAACAGTTAATGTTAGGGCTACTATTTAGGGATTGACCAATATTTATTCTTGAAAATTTGAACTAAAAATCTTAATTTCAAGACAATTCGAAATATTTGTGCCCCAAAAAATTGAATAGAAAAACTCAAATTCAAAACACATTGACTAATTTCAAAATTACAATTCTAAAAAGTAGCTACGTGGCATTTCTACTAAGTTGTTATCATAAGGGCACTACCTTTGAAACTTGAAAGATCTTAGAAATCATTGGTGTGCTTTTTTCACCCTGAAAATATCGGTATTCACTTTTCCATTTTTGTTAGAAAATAAAGTACAGAATTTTTTTCACTTTTATTTTGTGCCATAAACTATTTATATTCGGTAGTCGAAAAAGTGTATAAAATTTGAATATTTTTTATATATAACATACAAAATGTAAATATACAAAAAAAAAAATGACTATTATTTTGATAGCGACCATATAATGTGATGGTTGCAATTTTATACGGCCAAAATGTAAAATTCTAATACGCGGATTAGTAATACCTAGATAAAAGTATCAAATTAGAAAAAAGTACCTAGCTTTAAAGTAGGCAATCCATGCATGATGGCCCATGTATTATTATTTGTCATATGCGTATATAACTTTAATCCTTATTGAGTACTCAAGATTTCCTACCTAGCTATTCCATTTTTTTTTTTGCTCAAAAAAGGTATTCAAGAGGTTCCAAATATACAGCTTGATACCATCCAACCTTGACTGAAATGTCACGCCCCAAACCTGGAGAGGCATGGCCGGTATCCGGTGTCATACTCGATCCGAGCGTACCACTCTATAATTGTGAACTGTGGAGGGGTATCCTCAACTTAGGCCGTCGAGACCTACCTGCAAGCTGACAATACCAATCGAGACCTATAGGGCCATATTTTGAATCATCTGAAAATGATGTCTCTTATCTGCGGGTAGACATACCCAAAAACTCATATACATAACTGTGCAGGCCGACGAGGCCGCCATGAACATCTCCTGATATATAAAATATATCAGACTCGTCTACAATCCTCTAGAGATAACTGAACTGTATTATGGTCGGGATAGGGCCTCGACCTACCCAGCAAACTTGTATATATAAAATGGACTCCAAGGTCTAGACCTGGTAACTCCGAGAAAGTGGGACTTACCAACCAAGCTGATGTTTGACTCTGTCTACTGGGAAGGTCTATCCAGCTATCTATCAGGACTTGCAGGCATGAAATGTAGTGTCCCCAGCAAAATAGACATTAGTATGAAATAATGTACCGAGTATATAAGGCAATGGAGTAATTGAAAGCTGAAACTGAACTGATAATATAATAACTGGAAGTAACTGAGAGTCAAAGATGATCTGAAGATATGTTTACCTGCTGATACTAACTCAACTCTCTCAATATAGTAAGTAAAATAGTTGCCCAGTCATATAAGGCTCGGTACGTGTAACTGCTCTGTCGTAGTACGCTCGCTCATAGGCGCTCGGCCATACTAGGCTATGTAACTCGGCCATTCTGGACTCGCACATAGGTGTTCGGCCACAATAGGCTCGGTATATAACTTACCATCTGATCAGAGGTTGCCCAATAGGGGTCTGCCCACCGATTATAGCTCGATGGTGGTGAAAATACTGTAATACTACCCAATAGGGGCCTGCCCGCTGATTATAGCTCGATGGCGATGAAAATACTGTAATATTGTGTGTGTGTGTGTGTATATATATATATATATATATATATATATATATATATATATATATATATATATATATATATATATCCTCTACTCTCTTGAATGGAAGAAGGCAATACTTAACTGAATATAAAGTCCCGATAAGGGAGAATACTGTAACTTATGAGACTAGGATAATGTACATAAATTCAGGAGTACGAACTTCTCTTTATGTCTCGTTATCAAACGCATGTAGTTACGAGATCATGCCAAAATGAAGGAAGGGTTTAGCCTTAACATACCTTATCGCAATCTGTCCAATAACCACGTTGAACGCGTCTCGTCGCACCTTAATCTACAACAATGATAATAATACTATCATTAAGTTACGGAAGGTACAACTATCGCACAACGAACGACACACTTCTTTTATAATAAAACGGACAACATCTCCCCTATAGTCTTTACTTCCTCCCAATTCGACATAACACCAACAAAAACAAGAATATAACAATAACAAAATGTATACATTATTTTCCAACCTTATATCCATCACAAAATACCACAAAACAGCCCACACACCCTAATCACTTTATACAAAAAATGACAACCATAGTAGTGCCAAATAACCCGAAAATATAACGACAAATGACCAGTCCACCATTCCGCCATTATATGGTGTTTGTTCACACCCTTTCTCCTCCAAAACTCCATAAAACATTAGCAAAACAGACAACCCAACAACAACACGAAACATCCCCCAAAACAGTCCAGTACAAGTTGAATAACTCGAACTCACGGCTTTCGATTACCGTCCCGTGAGTTCTTACAATTATAAAACGAATTTATCTACTTTTTCAGCAAAAACAAAAAAGATGAAAAAGGTCTGTATACTTACCTTATTTGGTGAAGATCCCAACTCCTAACTTGGTTCTTCAACCCTTAGGTTTTCCTCCAACTAGAATTTGAAAAGAAGAGAAAATAATTTAGGGGTTTGTGTTTAATTTTTGGGAGAAGTTTGCAGGGGTTTATCTCTGATTTTTGGCTCTATAATGAGTGAAATATATGAAGTAAATTAGCCCTTAAAAGGGCTCTTTCGCCGACTCCAACTAGCCCCGTTTTGGACATATTTGGTCTTTTCTTTTAAGCAAGTAGGTGACACACTTACTTGTCACCTATTCAGTCTGCGCAATCTCGCAAAAACACAAATATCTCTCGACTTTAATGTCGTATTGACAAACAGTTTAATGCATTGGAAACTATACTCGTATATCTTCAATTTGATGGATAGATCACCCTGTAATTCTAAGTATATTGGGAGAAAATCTCATGTACATTTAACCTATTTTTCAGCACATTATGAATGTAACTTGTGATGACCTTTTGCCAACTTTTCTTCCACAAATTGCTTGACTTCAAAACATAGCACACGACTATCATACGACTAAAATAACTCATAACATAACCTTCTTATCATGTTAAGCACCCTAGTCTCATCCCAAATATACATGTTATAACATTCCCAACTTGTCGACTTTCAACAAAACTTATTTTCTTCAATTCATTTAGCTTCTAAGCCTTCCAACCCTCTTGGTACTTGTTATTCATGATCTTAAATATTTATAACCTCACGGTAACATGATTAACTTACTTTATGTACTTTCAAAGATGATCTCATTTATGATCTTACGTCAATTGACTTACGACGTACTCTTACGTACGAAAATGTGGAGTGTAACATCCTTCCCCTTTGGAACATCCGTCCTTGAATGTTGACTGATGCGCTTATCAGTCTCATAACCTATAGCTCTTATGAATACTTTAGTACTGTCCTTGCCATCTAGGTAACTGTTCTGTGAATAAATCCAAAGGCTAGGGTATTCCCCCCTTTAGTCCTCTTTCTCACACCATGACTTGTGGTCGAAATTCTTCTAATCTCGTAACTGTTGCTACCTTCTGTCATGAAGTCTATACGACTTTGTCCTTGTGTGTGCACCTATGCGACTCTTCTCTCCTTTTCCTCCAGTTTTTAGCCAATCTAGGCTCACTTTGTGAACATATCCCGTACTATGACAAGTTGTCCCTCTGGGCATCTGCATGTGTACTAAAGTTATTCGCTCGATACTTTGTCAAACTTACAACTAATGCTATATTTTA